GGTACTCTTCATGGGATGTATAAGAAAGCTATACAAAAAACTTTACAATTGAAGTCAAGTTCAAGCTGTCTAATTAAGGTATTGCAAGAATTTACTAATGACGATGACGAGAATGATGATGAATTGTCTAGTGAAGTGAAGATTTTACAAGTGATAAAGAACACACTGCTCTTGAACCGTGTTAACTGCAAAATCCTAAAAGAAAGTGGGGCAGAGGAAGACCAGCTGGCACAAAACGAATTAAAGCATCGTATAAAACAAATAATGATAAGGGAAAACAGCAACGACGTTATAAAAAATGTGGGAATTATGGTCATTATCAAAAAAACTGTAATGTTTAAAATTCTTTGTTTTATAATTTAATGTCATACTCAATAGAAATTTGACAAAAGTTGTATGGAGGTCTTGTAAGATTGGGATTATGTTATTAGGTCTTGTAATTGCGCTTTGAGCAAGAAATGATATGCATGTTTTAAGTATATATACATATTGCAGTAGTATTTACATACATACATATGTACTAATTATCGATATTTTTGTTAACTGTTATGTGTGTATGTGCAGGTATTCAGTAAATACTGTATGGCAGTACAGATTTGAATGAACATACGTATATATGTACATACATACAAAAATTATACAACATTATAATTATACGTACGTATGTAACCCCATTTAATAGTTAGAGTTAGGGTAAGCACTAGTACGTACTGTCCTTTTTTCAAGTTGGAAAAGTAATAAATTTTTTCTTTTATACTATCATGATTTCTATACATCCTTCTAATTGTGGTTCTGTATCGTACTACTTTGCTACATACTCTGTATGTATAACTTGATATATACTTAAGTATGTATGTACTAATTTATGCTAATTTGCATTTGAGTTAGTATTAAAGTTAGCGTTAGGGTGAGGGTAAGTATTAATATATATTATAGTTCCTTATTCATATTAGAGTAAAGTTAGTATTTAGATAAAAAAGACTCTCCATATTATGTATGTATGCATTACGCATTATAGTACTAAATTATTGATTATTAGTTAGTCATAGATCATATGAACAGCGATGCAACACCATAGCAGTAAATTATAAAACCCTTATTTTAATATATTTTTAAAATATTTTAAACATATTTTAACAACTTAGATGTTATTAAGATAACATAAATAAAAAAATATTTTTACAATATTTTTAATATATTTTTAATATATTTTTATAATATTTATATTGTATTTTAATTTTAAAATATTTTAAAAATATAATAAAAATATTTTAATTATATTAAAAACATATTTAGCAAAAAAACAGGTTTCTGTAAAGTTATAATTTCACAAATCTTACGAAGAGTGTTAAGCAATTAGTTATGAATTTTTTTTTGTTGATACGGAGATTGTAAACTGTTTTTATGTTATACTAATTAGTTAGGCTCATAATTAAAGGATGTTAACACCTGACAACTTGTAAAAATACCTGGCTCAGTATTTAATTTAAAACTTTATTAGGCTTCCATAGAAATTCTATAGAATCTACTTATAATGATGATCTAAAATCCAATAAATTTTTTCGGTTTTTCTTTTACTTCATAATTGCATTAGCACGGTTATTTCGATCTTTCAATTCTTCGGAATTAAAGTTTGCTATTCAATCGAACACGTCAGAATGAATCTAATATGGCAAATACTTTGCTCAAATAAAAATCAATCAATAATTGGAAGTGCTTCTAATACTGTAATAGCATAGCGGAAGTTTGTTTTGATTGGTTGATATTATAGTAATTTTTAAAGTACTTTTAATAGTAAAAATCGTCGTGTCATATGAAACTTTTTTTTTTGTAATACAAAACGTAACAACCAACTTGAGTTTTTGGTAGTTTACCTTTAAACTTATCGTTTTTTAACCTGAGATGCAATAAGTTGCAGTAGCTCCAAAAACTAGATGAGAGGTGAATATTTTGAAAGGTCGGAAGGTAGTTCGGTGGTCTAAACAATTAGTAAGTGAAATTTTGAGACTCTACTTCAACTAGTTTTGTTTGTTTTTTTTAAAGTATAAGGTATTTTTGAACTATTATTCTGAACCGTATTTTGAACTGTATTTTAATATTTTTTTATTGTTTTTATTTAGATATAAGTATAGTTTATGAATATGACGTTTATAATACAATAAGTGATAGTAGTAATAGTGTTTAGGATTGTTGTGTATGCGTTATTTAAATGTGAAAAAAAATAAAAACTTTGTAAAATCTAAATTAAAGTTATTATAAAACTGAATTAGTGTAAAATTATAATATATGTTTTTTAGAGCATTATTCATTTTTTTTCTTTTTTAAATTATTGATTTTTTAAAAGTTCGCAATTTTTATCCGGGATTAGCCGGTACTCTATCCGGGGTATGATGACAATTTTTTCCGGTGTATCTCAACAACCAATCAAAACGAACTTCGCTATGCTGCTTCTGATATATAACTCATATGAGTTCTAGTATTGTTGTTATTTAATAATTTCATTTATTTTTTTTGATATAAAAAAAAATTTTATAGTCATGAATAGTGCTGTGTTGTCAAACGAAACCTATAGGTTTCATCAAAAAAAATTTAAAAAGATATAATGAAGAAAAATGACGAAACTCAAAAGGTGACGGAATTAACAAAGCTAATAAAATTAATAAAACGAAAACACCATAAATTCGCCCTTTAAATTAATCATCAGTATACCGGATTTACTAATTTTTTCCACAAATTTCTTTATTGACTGAGATTATTCGCATCAAATTATATGTCACTTCCTCTTTAAAATGTGATGCCTAATTGGGTTAATGAGTTCTATCATACTAAAATCAGAAATTTTTTTATTAGTCTGCAAGAGGTGATTTCTTAAACGAAATGTTGAGATAAATGTGAGTTTTCGAAAAAGTAATTGTTTTTCTTTAGTTTTTACGTTACGACTGAACTTGTTCTCTGATTGGCCAGTAAATGTGTCATGTTATCAAGATTGTCGATTTTATCCAATCAAATTGGTAATGTATACAGTATAATTTTTGGTCGGAATTGACTTTTTGACTTTTTCATTCCGAAGATGGAAATTTTAGAAAAATAGGCCCACACAATAGTAAAATTAGCCCAGGAACACTTTTCATTTAATGGGCGGTTGCGATTTCATTAGTAAAATTTTAAGTAACTTTGGCCTAAATTTTTGATCGTCGCTCTTAGTCAATCAAAATCAAGAACCTACGTACCATCATTACACTTACGATGTCCCAATAGCATATGCGCATGGGTTACACAGTGGCGTACTACTCCATTATAATACTGTATGCTTCGGATACGTATTTATTTCCTGACTTTGATAACTTAGAATAAAAATGACTACAAAGTTTTTTGAAAAACTTTCTAGCAATTTAAATGACCTTCTCACCAATAGTAATGAATACAATGTCATAATTGAAGTTGGTCAAGTACCAAATAATCAAACATTTAAAGCGCATTCTATTATTTTAAGTTCCAGATGCTCGTATTTTAAAAATAAATTAAGTTCAATAACTTGTGGTGAAGGTAATACTAAAAAAATTCATCAAACTAATATTTCAGTTAAAGCCTTTGATTTTATCATTAAGTAAGTAATTAATATAAATAATCAGTGTTTAATAACATTGTTATAAAACGCACCTATGGTGATTTTGCACCCTATCATATGTTTATTTTAGATTTTTCTAATTTTTTAAATTTTTTATACAGAATTTTTAACGAAATTTTTTCACGTTTAGTATTTAGGGTTAATGTTAGGATTTGGATGGGTTTTTTGGGGCATAGACTTAGAACACACTATACTGATTAATTTCCTGTTTTTGTGACAATGTATGCATAGGTGCAAAACATCATATGTGCGTTTTAGTAAAAGATTTTAATAATATTTAAATTAATGTTTTAACAAATAGGTATATATACAGCGGTGTTATTTCGTTAGAAAAAGTTGATACATCAGCTATTTTTGATCTTTTAATTGCTTCCAATGAATTTGGACTTAAAGAATTAGTTGAGCATATTCAATTAATTTTAATTAAGAATCATGCTTCTTGGCTGCGTTTGAACTTTTCTCTTGTCTATCAAACAAGCTTTAAAGATGATAATTTCAATGAATTGCGGCACTTTTGCGCTAACATAGTTGCCAAATATCCAAATATTATTTTCGACTCTGACGAATTTATTACTCTTCCAGAAAACATTCTAATTTTTGTTTTGAAACTTGATGATTTGCAAATGGATGAAGGAACGATCTGGGATTATGTAATTAAGTGGGGAATTGCTCAAAATCCTTCTTTAAATATTAACCTTGACCAATGGTCCGATACAGACTTCTTAACTTTGAAGAATACGCTCCAAAATTGCCTACCTTTAGTACGTTATTTTCAGATCCCTGGTAAAAATGTTATTGAAAAAGTTCGACCCTATCATAAAATTCTTGAACCAACTTTATGGGAAAATATTCAGTTGAAATTTATGTCACCAGACCAGGATATTAATTATCCTATTTTACCTCCTCGAAATATTTTGCATAAATCACTTCCTTTACGAGACAATTTAGCT